GGTGTACAACTACAAAATCATGCCCTTCAGATTGAAAAATGTCGGGGCAACATATCAAAGGCTGGTTGATCAGGTACTCGCCGAGCAAAAAGGTTGTAACATGGAAGTCTATGTTGACGATTCCATTGTCAAAAGCAAAGAGGACAAGGACCATGTCGCGGACCTGGCCAAAACCTTTGCCAACCTTAGAACACACCAAATGAAGCCGAATCCGAAGAACTGTGTCTTCGGCATGAAGTTAGGCAAGTTCCTAGGCTTCATGGTCGGCAAAAGGGGGATTGATGCCAATCCCGCCAAATTACAAGCACTGCTCTATCTTCCCGAGCCAAAAACAAAGAGGGATGTTCAGCGCCTCACTAGGAGAATGGCAGTCCTGTCCAGGTTCATCTCAAGAGCCTCGGACAAGGGGTTACCCTTCTTCAAAGCGCTAAAACTCCCAAAAACCAAAGAGCTCATCTGGGAAGATGAGCAAAAAGAAGCCTTCAAGTAGCTCCGTGAGCACCTAGCTTAACTCCAAACGCTGGCTCGCCCAGCGGAAGGAGAAACTTTATACTTATACGTGGCAGTTAGCCCTGCCACCATAAGCGCGGTTCTGCTGAAGGCAGAAGACAAAGTCTAGAAACCGATCTACTTCGTTAGACACACTCTGACGGATGCCGACACCCGCTACCCCACACTCGAAAAAGTTGCCTATGTAGTAGTGGTAGTCGCTCGGAAGCTGAGGCCCTATTTTGATTGTCATCAAACAGTGGTCTTAACTGATCAGCCGCTGGAAAAAGTCCTCGGCAAAGTGGAAAAATCTTGTAGGCTGGCAAAGTGGGCCTTCGAACTCACTGAATTCAGCATCAGCTACCAGCCGAGGACAGCCATCAAGTTAGGCACAAGCTCTAGCGGACTTTTTGGCCGAATGCTCATACCAAGAAACGCTAGATGAAGAAAAGAAGACCTGGACCATTTTTGTAGATAGATCCTCCACCGTAAATGGTTCGGGGGCGGGGGTAGTACTTACCTCGCTTGAAGGCAAGTCCTTCGCGTATGCACTCAAATTTTCATTCCAAGCTTCGAATAACGAAGCAGAATATGAGGCAGTGATTGCTAGCCTAGAGTTGTGCATATCGTTGGAAGCCCTGAAAACAGACTCTCAGCTCGTTGCAAATCAGATCCGAAGCGAGTACTAGGCGAAAGAGCCCTCGATGATTGCTTACCTCGCAAAAATGAAAACGATAATTGCGAGGCTAAGAACTTTTGAAGTCGAGCTAATCCCAAGGGATCATAACACACAAGCCGATGCACTCTCCAAACTTGCAAGTTCGACTCTAACCGAGCTGAACCGATCTGTTTATGTGGTGGTGCGGCGAGAAAGAAGTGTCGACGAAGCACCTGAAATATGCTGTGTCACACATGAACCAAGCTGGATGGATCCCACCCTAGCTTACAAACTTCAGGGAGAATTTCCTGAAGACAGAAACTTAGCCTCCAAATTGAAGCGAATCAGCTCAAGGTTCATCGTCTTCAGAGGAGAGTTGCTGAAAAAATCCTTCTCAGCCCCACTGCTGAAATGTGTGGGACCATCAGATGCTGATTACATCCTTCGGAAATTCACCTCGGCATTGAGGACAGGATACTACTGGCCCACCATGATCCTAGATGCTAAGGAGCTGGTCAAAAAATGCAAAAAATGTCAAAAATTCGCACTAATTATCCATCAGTCAGCCCGAGATCTCCAGTCGATTCTGAATCCTCTTCCATTTGCTCAATGGGGTCTGGATATCTTGGGGCCATTTCCTGATGCTCCGTACTAAAAAAGATGGATGATAGTCGACATCGATTATTTCAGAAAATGGATCGAGGCCGAGGCAACCTCGAATATCACAGAGCAAACTGTCCGGAAATTTATCTAGCAGAATATAATCACTCGCTTCGGAATTCCGAAGGTATTTGTCTTCGATCATGGGAGGCAATTTGACAATTCGCCGTTAAGGCGGTACACTAATCAATTTGGCATCAAGTTGGCTTATTTTGCAGTATGTCATATGCAGAGTAACGGTCAAGCCAAAGCGGGAAACAAGCAGATTCTCAACGCACTCAAGAAGAGGGTTGAGGATCAAAAGTTCAAGTGGATAGAGGAACACCCAGGAACCCTCTGGTCACTTTGGACAACCGAAAAAGAGGCTACGAGATATTCGCCATTTGAGCTGGTGTATGGATCCGAAGCCGTTCTTCCAGTGGAAATCGGCACAGAAAGTATGCGGGTGCACCACTCTCAGCCGAAGAAAATGAACAACTTATGAAAGAATCCCTCGATTTCCTGGATGAGGTAAGAGATTCGGCCCGACACAGAATGGCTGCATACAAACAAAGAATCAGCAAGTTCTACAACCGAAGGGTCAATGCAAGACCACTCAAGATTGGGGACTTGGTTCTTCGAAATGTCGCAGCAGTGCAAAAAAGTCGCATTCATGGGAATCTCTCAGCCACTTGGGAGGGACCCTATGAAATTTATGATGAACTTTAACCTAGAACCTACCGACTTCGTCAATTGGATGGAACCGAGCTGAAGAACCACTGGAACGTTAATGTACTGAAAAAATATCATGTATAAGTCCTTCGGGGAAGAACAATCTGTGTAAGTACATCTTTTGAAATTAATGAAAGGCCACCGAGCCACCATTCTTATCAATCTTGCATGATTCTATTTTCTGTCTTCTATGTTTTTTGAAAAAAGGTTTTCCTTCAACACTGTCCGAAGTATAGCCCAACAGTGGCACTGTACTTTGGATTGCCGCCAAACCTGCCCAATAGGGAACAATGATTTCACAACCGATGTATAGCCATATGAAGGCACGGTACTTCGGACAAGTCAGTTCCTTGGGGCAAAGAGGTTGTGGACAAATCTGAAGCATAGGTAATCACTAGCATTGTGCTTCAGAGGAGTTATATCCAAAGCATTACCAAACACTAGCGTTGTGCTTCGAATAGGCGTTCCCTCGAAAAAATTTCAAGGATTGAGAGAATACTGCTCTCGGAGTCTAAGACATCTAAGCAACTAACTCATAGATTCTTCAAAAAAAAAAGAAGAGAAAAGAAAAAGACAGAAACTTCAAAAATTTTGCTTAGTACAGGGCAAAACGAAGCAAGACTTCGTCTATGCAAGTAAAACCAAGCAAACACCTTAGAAATTCGAGGATTAAAACTTCAGATTTCTGATTTCTGGGGGGCAAGAAGCACCAAGCAGCCCTACTCTTCCAACAAGTTGGAGACCAGACAAGTCCAAGCCGAAGCTCAACACTTAGAAAAATTTTGCAAAAATTTACAAAAAAAGCAAGCAAAGAACTAAGCAAAAGAGCAAGGCAGTTGGAAAAGAAAGCAATGCATTTCAAGCAAGCAAATTATGCTCGGATCATCGAGTTACATCAAGTCAAATCCAGAAAATTCAAGAAACCAAATACTAATTGGTAGCCGTCCACAAGGCGGATAAAAGCAGTTGCCGAACTAAGTAAAACTACTCAAAAACTAAATAAAGAGTTTATACATCAAGGCAAGCTGAAGCAAAAGGGTTCAAAAGGCAAAAACAGATGCGGCGTATTCTAAAATTAAGAGCAAGTTGACCCGCAAGACACTGTAGACGACTACCCGAGTTCATATGCTTCAGCTGAGGAGCAACTGCATCTTAGCTACCTAAAGCTTCAGCACCAGCAGTGTAACACCCCAATAATCCTCTCTAAAAGAAAACCTGTAAAAACCTGTAATAACCTGTATAACCTGTAAAACCTGTAGTACCTGTAAGAGAATTATTGGAGTGCTACCGCCACGTGTTCAAACGTTAAGGCTACTTTCAGAAATCAGCAGCGGAAAACTAACTTAGTTTTTTTTTTTTTTTTTTAAAAGAAAAGGATATAAGTTTTGAAACTAAAAACCAAAATCAGGCTTTAGACTTACAAGTTGGAACCATAAAGGCCCTTATTCAAAATCCAAATGAAATAGGAAGTAAGTAAAATTACAGTCAAAATTAACTCAGTCACCAGTGCTCTACTCAATTCCCATTACCCTGATGTAATTTCAGTTTATGCCAAAAACCTGTGATGAATCTGCTCCCCAATATTACAAGTGTAGGGATTGGATCATTACAGGGTCATTGAAGGCGTAGGCCATGACCAAAGAAAACACACAAAAGCACACAATCAGCAACGCTGAGTACATACAAGCTACGAAATGTAGTAAAGAATCCTAGCATGATGCTAACAAGTATTCCATACACTCACAATATTATCATTGACTCGAACACATGACTCAATAGTTACTCATTACTAAGTTTTTATTTAAATAGCATTGATCACTTCATTAATTGATTAGATAAAGCAATAGACTAGGTTGTCTCCCTGTGCTCCATTACGGAACATTAAATAAGAAAACCCTATGCCTCCTTTCGAAAGACATTAATAAACATCCAATGGCAGACGGGCGCGACTGCGTGGCCATAGCTAGTATGAGATCTCATCTAACTCATTATAATTTTAAAAGAATTTAAAACAAGAGACTCGTAGATCAGACGACCTCTGAAAAGTGCACGGCTAATACCCCGTGAACCCCAACCCCTGTTTGTCATTACTCTAGATGTGCACAAATCCAGAGTTTTATTGCTCATCCTTCTTGCACTTTACGTGATTTACCAGTTTAAATTTGGTGATGACTCATATGCAAACAACGCAACCAATCTTATATCAAACATTCAAACCATTCAAGTTTCCAATTTAATTCTTAATTTATTAGTGACAAACAACATTTATTATTGAATCCTTTAACTACCTCGGTGTATAAACACCTTAAGTGCATAAGGCACCTCATATCCACAATCTTGCCTTATAAGGCTTTTAACTCTTCCTTTACTCATTACATTTCAATACAAATGAATAAGTAGTTAAAATGATTCATTCCATATATATATACTTGTAGCTTTGCTTCTAAGATCTCTTTGCAAAGTATTGCAAAAATAATGCTCATGGGGAAAAATCAATGCAAATTCTCATACTTGAATTAAAGCAATCATCACATTTATCATCAATCAACTCATTACCAAACAATTTCAACCAATCCACAGTTTCTTAACATGATTCTAGGTTTTTCCAAGTCCCTAAGCATGCTCCTAAAATCAAGGTTCTTCGTATTCTTGTACGTAGCTTGAGTACACGAATTGGTTGGCCACTTTAAGGCTAGAAGTCACCTTCTACGAAGTCCTCTCCTAAAAAAAATAACAGTAGTTCAATCAACACCCAAGCAATATATTTTACAGCAATACCAAACTACTTTAAAATCCATTAAATTATTAAAATCATGCTCTTAAATTATTGTCAATAGCCAAAGTTAATAATTTAGTACTTCAACTATAAGTTTATATGTCTAAATCATAGAAATATGGCTTATAGCAAAAATTTCAGCAACTTTAAAGTAAGATTATAGTCTGAAAATTTAGTTTAAACTTATAAAACAACCACATAAACATTTTCATTTGAAATAATCGTTACATAGTACGTTAGTATGTTGAGAACTTGAAAATCCATCATAAAACCATGATTTAAGGCTATTTAAAGTTAAGGTTAAAATCTGAAATTTCAGTTTAGTAGCAAAATATAGGGATACATATATCTAAACTCGAAATATATGATTAAAATTCAATAATATTCATAAATACCCAATTAAACTTTCAAATTTCACAACTTAAACCCTAATATATATATAATTTGAAATTTGAAATTTAGTTTATAATCAAGGTAATTGAATTTAAACATAATTTTACACATGTTATAATTAAATAATTAAATCTTCCCGCTTTAAACCAAAAAATCAGCTTTCTAAAAATCTGAAAATTACTTACAATCATAAAAAATTAAAGGTAGAACCATGTTTAAATACAAATTAATTAGGTAAATCAATTATTCATGGTTTAAGTCCAAAACTTGCGAAAATCACGATTTTTAAACCCTAATTTCGTAGCTAATAAAATCTGAAATTAATCACATACTTAGTATATCATAGACTCAACAAATTCGCAACATAACTCAATAAATTTACAATATTCATCATGTATATGCATAATCAAATCAATAATTCATATAAAGATTAAATCTTTAAAGTAATTAAAGAAGAAAAGAGGGAGATAGAAGAAAAGGGAAATTGAAGAAACCGGCTAAGGTGGTACGGGCTGCAGCGAGGGTCGCCGGTGGTGATTTCCGGCTGAGGCCGTGGCGGCGCAGAAGAGGCAGCAGCAGCGGAGAGGAGAAAGCAGCGAATTTTTTTTATTTATTTTTTTTTCCTCTGTGTGAGTCGTGAAAGGAGGAGGAAGGTAGTGAAGGAGTAATAAGGGGAAGCACTAAAGGAGGGTTTTTGAAAGAAGTTTACTTAATTAGAAAATGAGGGTTTGGGCTCTTTTATTTTTTTGTAGAATTGGAATGGTAATCATAGCCCAAAGTGAATAAAATGCTATTGGAGTATAAGTTATTGTATTTTTTTTTTTTTTTTTGAAATCTTCCCAAAGTATTTTTGTATAATTATAAAATTATTAAAATAATCGTATACATAAAAATATATAATTATTATTTACTAAGAAAATATGGGGGATTACAAGCAAGGATGAAGCAGGCATGGCAAGAGCTTTCTCAGACTCGTTCTTCTTAGTTGCTTCCTTCTCTTTCTTTTCAGCTTCTTCTCGTTCTCGAGCCTCAGCTTCAGCCTGGCGAGTCAGGAAATCAATCTCAGTTTGACTGCCAGTGGCCAGGTGAACATCCTTTTCGTCTGAATCCCAGACCTCCACTTGATCCCAGTCAATGTTAGGATCAACATGGAATGCCAGACGCCGAGCCACATTGAATCCATTCTCATAACCCTCTTCATATTCGGCTTGGGTGTAGATCCGGACTGCTAGTAGCTTCTAAGCTTTCTCAAGCTCGGTCTGAGTCTGGGCAGCCTCCTCCATTAGACGAAAAAGATAAAAAGGCATCGGTTCAAACCCCCCTTTGGCACCGGTTTTGAACCGTTGGGTATTTGAGGGATGCCAAATCCATGAAAATTTGGCACCGGTTCAAAACCGGTGCCAACTACATGCTTTGGCACCGGTTAACCGGTGCCAACTACCATGGCGTGATTTTTTTTTTTTTTCAATACTATTGGCACCGGTTCAAAGCAAGAACCGGTGCAAAAAACCCCACTATAGGCACTGGTTCTTGCTTTGAACCGGTGCCAAAAGTGTAAAAAAAAAAATAAAAAAATAAAAAAAATAAAAATTTGCATTTTTTTTCACTTAAATTGATATAGAAACATTAACATATATATAAAGTTACATATTTTCATTAAAAAAGGCTGTAATATTACAATTTTCGTCCAAAAAAAATCAAAGCAAGGAACAAAAATATAGCAGAAAGGGCCAGCTAGCAAGTTATCCCAACAACAAAAACCCAGTAGAACGCCAACAGCAGCTAGAAAGGTGCAACACAGCACCAGGCAGGAGGTAGCACAGCACCAGGCAGAAAACAACTGCAACTGGCAGGACGCAACAGCACTGGAAACAGCAGCAACAGAACAAACCACCAATCAGCACCAATAACAACAACATCATCCAGAGCCCAGCTGCAACACCAAACAGAACCCGAGGCAGCTGCAACAGCAGGGAAGCAACAACAACTACCAGCAGCACAACACAAAGCAGGAAAATATCTAAGACCAGCTCCACACTAGCAGCTGAACAGAGGAAGAAGGAACCAGCCAACACACTGCGTCAACCCTCAAGCCCAGTGTGTTGGCTGGTTCCTTCTTAGCTTAAAAAAATACCTGACGTATCAGCTTAAAAAATACCTGACGTATCAGCTATATTAGCAAAGTATTCTAGATCAGACTAATTACCTCCTTGACGGTACCATATTTTGTATCGTAGTTGACTGTACACTGTTCATGATCATGACCAGAGAGGACAAGTACCTGATAACACAGAAAAAATGAAGTTCATTGCAGGGACTAGTTTCATTCTGCTTCATACATATTGAGGATAAGCCAGAGAACATACAGGTTGAATAGAGTCCAATATATGCTCTGAAGACTCCTTAGTGACATAATTCTGGTATCTGCATCATACGAAAAACAATCAGCATTGACAAAATAGTGAGAAAAGCAATATCACACATTGACAGAAAAGTTTTGAGGTTTGAAATTTACAGTATCCTCTGATCATAAGCAGAGCGAGAAACCCTCTGAACACAAAGGAAAAAAAGCCTGTGAGTTAAGTGCCAAATGGTCAGGCTACATATGATAGGGATGCAAATTTAAGCTGCACAAGGAGGTAAAACCCCCAAGTCATAGGTTGCTTTATAAAGGGAAGACATCAATACCTGATTGATAACTTCTGAAGAACGGTATGGGCCACAATGAGTCCAATCTGGACTGTACAGAGGGATATGGGTCAACAGCACCCTTGGATTTGTTCTTCCACTTGAGGAAGAGGATAACTTAATTTTTTGTCATACACAAAACATCTTTCTCCAAATAATAGCCTCTTTTAATCAAAACGAATTTCAACTTTTGATGGGATTCTATGCAGCATGAAAACCGATACAAGTTGGTAAACACAGACGAATTTAAAAAATTTTATCTCCAAAAAAAACTAGGAAATTGAATGACGATATGGATATTAAAAAGATTGTATGAATTGTAGAAACGAGACAGTTTTCTAATCTAAACACTAAACTAGCATCAATCAGGATAATCCTTTCTTTTTGAGCTGAAAGTACCCCCTACACTCCCAAGTCCCACCCTCCCTTTCTTAAGTGAGACTCAGAATAAATCACCCCCTGTGTATATTTCTAGCAAGCATAAAAAATGAAGTCTGGAACCTGAGCACACTCGCATGTGAGATTATGACCAACTACTCCTATGGGAACTCTATCTCCCTATCTCCTCAGTAGATGTGCAGACCACACCTTCACTTAGCTTTCTGTCTCTCTACACCATCCACTTTCAATACCCTCTTGTGATTATCCAACTATAGCCCAACAAAGCTAGAGAGTTGACTTACCCATGGAGAAACCATCCACAAATGACCACGTCAATAGTACAAATGAAAGGCCTTTTAGGAGGGCAGAGGGAGCACTCAAGTTCAGCTACTTAAAATATACATATTGCTGAGACTAATAGAGGGATAATGAAGTTGAATTACCCATGGAGAAACCATCCACAAATGACCAAGTAAATGAAGTTGTATTGTCTTTTATGTACCTGTAGGAGACAAATAGATCCCTTGGTAAAATTGACTCCATGAACCACCATTATAAAATGACTTGGTAAAACTTACTCCATGCTACCAACATAAAATGATTCCCTTAGTAAACTAACTCTATGAGCCACCAACATAACAAGTGTTTGGGAACTTGCTTGAATTAATCTGGGAAGCAAAGCATTAACCTAAAAAGCTATGGAATTTTTACAAAATATGTTTGTTATTTAGAGACTAAACAAAGGAGATTATGCAAAACTAAGAAAAACTAAAATGGGAAACAATTTTAAATACTACACAAGTACACAGTGTTTGCATTATTTGCTCTTGTTCAAGCCAAAAAAATAGAAAAAACAAAGTATGTAAGACTCTACAAAAGTACAAAGTACTTTGCAATAAATATATCATTGATCAACAATTTGGTCAGAATAATTAATTCCTTTGACTTTTTAAAAAAAAAACTTTCCACAATTTTACTTTGCATAGTTTACTCATTGATAGGACTTCCAAATATATGAGCCATAACTAACGTGAGTCATAAATTCTCTAAACAATAATCGAGCACTGATTATAATTAATGAATCAGACAGAACTTCAACCTAATGCCACTTCGAACATAACAAGAACAAATGTGGAATTGAAAAGTACACCTTAAGCTACAAACATCCAAAGAAAATTTTATTACCGCCTCTAATCCAAATTAAAATCCTTGATTATGAAGATCACATATGCAACAAAGATACTGCGATAAATGAAATTTAATATACCATCAATGGTTTGGGCATCAATTGCAACAAAGTCTACTTTTCCAATAGTAAAATTATAATTTCTTTTGCCAAAAATGCCTTCATAACGCTCTATAATCTGCAGCAAAGAATTTGTAGGCCAGTCAGCAGGGTAAATGAAAACGATGAACAACGTACATAGAGACATTAAGCATGTTGACCTGTCCTATTTGTTGCAAGATCTATAAAACATGATCAGATCTAATTCTAAGAATTAATGTATAGTAAATCATCAAGCGTTGCATAAGGAACCCTTTGTCAGATATTCATTTTGAAGGTACTTAAGATAATATATAACTTTCTGCTAGCAAGGTTGTAAGTTGTAACTACATAAAACATTTTATGAGAAACCTTGAAGGCTTTGATCAGAACAAGTTCACCCAAGATCAATAGGTAACACATACCTCTGGCTTATGGAAAAGATGGCCTGCATAGCCAATGTCGTGGTTTCCAGGAATGTAATAAACTGGAATATCTTTAGTTCTTTCTTGTTTACCCAGATCAAAGATATGCTTGAACCGGCTCAAAGATTCCTGCCATCTATTGACTAAGAGAATGTAAGTGATTCCTAAATATAAATGCATAAGTAGAGCAAACTTCAACATATTTTAATTGATGATTCATCTAAACAATTACTTAGAGTCCGACATAAAGTACTTGTCATCATATAAGTTAAAAACTTACATACAACTAATGATTTATGATTGTGTTAGTGTGATAACAGATGAACATGAGAGATAAAAATTTATGTCAAACTTCAAATAACCATGCAAGATTTCTATCAAAGAATGTCAGAATAAGGTCTCACAAAAGAAGTTACAGCCACAACGATCATAAGAAAATCATTTATAAAAATCCCGTGGTGACTGATCGGAATATAAAATTCATAGGCTGCACAAGGAGTCAGTTATAAATGGAACACTAACATCATAAAAGTCCAAGACTAGAAAGCATCTAGAATACTAAGCATAAAATTTAGACAAAATAGTATTAAGAATTTAAAAAAAAAAAAATAAGAATACCCACTTCCTTAAGCTTCTAAGGTGAGAAGCGAAAAGTGTTTAGGCCCCCTTTAAACCCTGTAAAAATCATCAAGTATATTAAATAAAACAAAATTCAATCTAATTTTATCCAAAAAACAAAGGAATGATTTAATGAAGAGGGTGAAACAACCCTTCATGAGTGAAAATTGAGGAAGTTGCAGCAATTGCGGACATTGTTTTTCCCAAAATAACGAGTCAAGTTCCAAAATCAAAGAACCCACAATACACAATCTACAGATTCTACACAGCCAAGGTTAGCAAAAACATTACTTGAAATTGGGGAAGAAATTGAGCAAAAACACGCAGATTAAAAAATATAAATAAAAAACACAACGTAATACCACAAATTTCAACTAAATCTATAACAAAATCAACAAAAAAATACAGCATAAAAGAATATAAAGATGAATTAAGCGAAAAAGAGAAGAAACTTACTTATAATTGGGAAAAAAATTGAGCGAAAGAGAGATTTATATTAGGGTTTTGTAAGCTTTAACAGGAAAAAAAAAAAAAACCTTTCAAGCGCCGGTACCGGAAGCCGTTAAAGGTAACGGTGTCTTGGTCGGAAGCGTTGCAGGTGACGGTGTCGCCGGCCTAACTGTCTCTCTAACTGTTCACCACTTGCTTTAACTCGAACAAGATTTGAACGAAAATCGAAGACCTTACATGAGAGATGAGAGC